TGGCCGCCCGCTCGGTCCTCGGCCCCGCCGGCGTGGGCGGCGTGGGCATGGGCTTGCTGAGCGCCGGCAGCCTGCCCGGCTTCTACGCGCAGCCCACCTTCCTGGAGGTGCTGGCCGACCCGCCGGGCGTCCACCTGCAGCCCCTCGGCAGAGCCCCCCCGCAGCAGCTGGACACCAGCCAGACGGCCAGCTCAGGTAGCCCGCGGGCCCCCCCCGAGGGGGACCCGCCGGCTCGTCCCGGGAGGGAAGGACGGAGGCCAAGCGCGGCAGGGCGGGCAGGACTGGCGCGGAAGCGGTGGGGACACCTGCCTGGGCCAGCACGGCCTCCGCTGGCCCTTCCTCCGGCGCGGCATAGCTGCTTCCGAGGTGACACCCCGAGAGCGGTGCAGTCCAGACGAATCGCAGCGAATCTCGTTGAGGGCGGCGAAAGAGACGCGCTGGGTGGACAGCGAGGGGGACCAGATTCGAATCCAATTCGAATCGGCTCTTCTCCTCCATCCTGAGCAGTCGACCCGTGAGACCGAAGCGTGGGCCCGCCAGATGCTGCCCTTCCCCAGGTCAAGGAGCCGGTTTCGTCGACTCGACCCCCAGGGAATGCAGCGAAATAAACATTTCAACGACAGCAAAGAAACCCTGGGTAGAAATTCAAAGAAGGGAGGGGGGCAGCTCTTGATGCCTGGACAGGCCAGTGGTTATTTAAGGACATATAATAATAATCCCCCTCGATGGGCTCTATTCCGGGGGGCAATAAGAGACCGGAAGGGTTCCGGGGATCCCCGCGGGGCTTTGTCGTTTCTCTCCTAAAACTCGCCCCGATCCGTCCGTCAAACACAGGCGCTTTGGAGAGCGCTGCGGCTTCTCGACTTTTAAAAATTATTATTATTATTATTCCCCACTTTTTAAATAAAGTTTTACATAGAAAAAGCAGGAGGAATATCAGACAAATCGCTGGCCTGGAAATAAAACTAGGATCCAAGCTTAGGGAGAAAGGAGACGCCGTTGCCAGTGCTGCTCAGGAGAAAGAGCCCGAAGAGAGCGAGCGAGGAAAACCCTCCCGCCCTCCCAGGAAACGAAGTCGGAGCCGAGCAAACGAAAAAAGCCCCTCGGGGACCCGATCCGGGCAAGTTAACACCAAGGACGCCCGGGAGGGAGAGCCCTTTCCTCCAGCAATGCACCCTCGCTCTGAGCTCCAACAGGCTGAAGTGTCCGGGGGAGCTGCCCCTGTGCTCAGCCCTTGCTGGCGGCCTCCCCATCCGTCCACCCACCCACCCATCCATCGCTGCCTCCTTTCTGTCCCCAGATTCCGAGGATGTTTCCTCCAGCGACAGGAAAATGTCCAAATCCTCCTTGAACCAGAGCAAGAAGCGGAAGAAGAGACGGCACAGGTAAGCCCAACCAACGCCTGGCTTGCTCGGGAGAGACTTCGCCGGGGCAGGGAGACTCGCCGGGCGCAACGTTGCCAGGAGGCCGGCTCCTGCCGCGCCGCCCCATCCAGTCAGCCAGGCCGACCAGGCCACTGATGGGGGGGGCGGGGGGGCGGCAGGACTGTGCCAGCCACAGAAGGCAACAACGCGGCTGCCTTGTTGGACTCTTCCTCTGGCGGGACTGGAGATGCCGATCTCCGATCGACTCCCAGGCCAGGTTGGATACTACCGCTTCCATTTCCAGTGGCCAACAGAAGAGGCGATCTGGTCTGCTGCCCTGCCCCGCTTTCCTCTCTCTCAGGGAGCTGCCGTCGTCCTTCCCAGGCGGATACGGTCCAGTTTCCTTGTCTAGCGACCCACTGTCCAAAAACGCAGCGCCGAAGGAGCTGTCCGCTGGGACCTCTCGGCTGGATCGCTCTCCAGCTATCTGTTGGGCTGCGCTCTGCAATTCTTTTTAAAAAGAAATTGGAATGGGGGGGGGGATATTTGCCAGGGCTGGGACCCTTTTAAAAATGCAAACAGCGCCTACCCCAACCAGAACCTTATGCAATGCCTCCTATGACTGGCACCTGCTCAGGGAGCTCTCATCAGTACCGGTCTCATCGCCTTACCAAAGGTGGTGTGGAACAGAAGGATTATTTCATTTTATTTGTTTCGTTTTGTTTCAGTTTTGCTGCTGCAGTTTTTTTTGTGTGTGTGTGTGTGCGTGGATGGCTCGCTCCTGATTAGTAATAAAGTGTTTTAAGCGTTCTAGGAGATGACGGAAGAGCTTGGAAATAAGACAAGCTGCTGAGGAGAGGAGAAAGTGACCAGGTTTCCCAAGGAAATAGGCACTCCTTGTCCTGGTCTGGCAGGAGTTCAGTGGGCAACCTTGTCCCTGTCCTTTTGCCTTCCCTTAAATGAAATTCACCTGGTCAGACCTGGCCTGGTCTGCAAGGATAGACAGGGGGCTATTGCCAGAGAGCCAAACACAATTCCAATATTTTCTGACTTAGAGACAAAGGAGAGAGACGCAACATCCATTTATCCAATCATGGTTTGATCATAATTAAACTAATCTTGGTAAGATGCAGAATGTGTGGATTAAGAAAATGTCCCTGGAAAAGGCCCGCTGAGGACTCAGATCCCCCCTCCCCTTTAGGATTTGCCACTGTCAAGGCAAAGATCATGCCTCAGTTTCGGGGTTCAAAACAATGTGGCAGACAATTGCTAGACTAACTGGACTAATCTAAGGGAGTCGGTTCAAAATCTAGATCAAGGTTAGAATTGGGGTACATTTCATATTGGGATTGGAACAGGGCTGGACCAGAATCTTAGAAGACAGGCAGTGGATTCCTTCATCATTTCAAATTTACATTGATTATTTCATTTTTTTAATCCAGTATATCTGATTTTTTTAAGTTTGAAAAACACACTTACTTGTCCTTCAATAAATAAAGGCAGAGCCCAGAGGAGCTAGAAATCTCTCATGTGTGTATATATATATATATAAAACCCTCCAGGAGAGGACATATTTTATTTCCCCCCCCCAAACAAAAGGGACTTTTAAAACGAAATTTAAGGCTGGATCACAAAAGGATAAATTCTACCAGTTGTTTTTAACAGCAAATTTATTTGCTGAGAAAAATTATAGACCCTCCATTCCAATTTCCCCAGATCTTAAGGATGTACAATGAGAGTTTTCAATTTGCTCAGAATGAAAGAGACTGGAATGGTTGAACACACTTACTCCACCCATATTGACTGTGATTCTGTGAGGGTAAGAGCAAAGATGTCTTAAGAAAATTTTCAGATAATTAAAAAAAATCTAAATAAATGGTTGATTACAGAAGAGGTATCTTGTATTAACAAGCATCTTTTGTTAACACTGTTATTGATCTGGTACAATCCTTTAGATTTTAAATGCTGGGAGGTAATTCAAAAGCATCGAGCTGTCCTATTGGGAAGATGTAAATTCTTTACAATATATTTTGTTTTATTCTTAGTGACCTGACCTAAATCTTTGTTCTCTTTTTTTTGAAGCTGTATTTCTGCTCATTTTAAACACACCCTATTAGATTACTGTGTTGGAATGCAGATTGTTTCCTAGGTAGATTAGTCATAGAACCAGGGGCTTTCTAGGATACAGAAACTGGTTTGCATTTAGATTTGCAATATGAGAAGAATGTGGAAGAAATCTGTACACTTTCTCCTCTGCTAGAATCATCCCTTGGAGTTGTATTTCCATTTGTTTCTGCTCCCGGATGCTGTTTGGGTATATCTCTGTGTGTTTCCAATGTGGGATATGCAGACTAAAGAGAAGGGGGAACTGTGTGTAAAATGCATAATTTCCAAGAGGTAAAGTCAAGAGGATGTTTACTGTCCAATTGGCAACTCAGTAGAGCAAAGCTTGACACTGGTGCTGGCAGCAGTCACATCACAGACGTGTCAGAGATCTCTGTGGTGCCCAGGTCACTTACAATAGGATTAGCAGATGAGGAAGGACAAGTGTTTTCAGAATGCTAGGAGAAGGAAAACTGAGGATGATGTTACTCCCTATCAGTGTTCTCAGTATAAATGCCTAAGTGCTGTTTACTGGGCACTGGAACTGAAAGAAGGTTCCTTTTAAAATAATGTGAATTTAAATGCTGCATTTTCAAAAACAAAACTACCCCCCAACCTTCAACATAAAGCTGAGGGTAAGAAAAGAAACCTGCCTCTCTGCATCAAAACATGCTCATTAATGGAAACTTAATTGTTTTTTTTAAAGAAAAAGATGGAAAATTATAACTGAATTTACATTGGATAGCTTTGAATTTGCCATTTAAAAAATCTTTAGTGATGTTTTTGTCTCAGGACTTTGTTTTAGTGTGCATGCAGTGGTGGTGATGTTACATTTCACAGAAGGAAGTAATGCTAGTTCTAATTTGGAAGCTATTTTTTAAAAATCTGCAGTTGTTATTAGCGGTTATTATGATGGTGCTTATTATTAGTGTTTAGAGCATTTCTATGTGTCTCTCAAGGGAATTTGCCGAAGGTGGCTTGTTAATGTGCTATGTGGGAAAACATGAAACTAAAGAACACACAGGTTCATTTTATTGTCTCATAAACCAACAAATATGTATTAGACTAAGTAACTTTGTTTTGCACCCCAGTTCCAAACACATGGATTTAGAAATGAGCTGCATTGATCTCAAAGGAGCTTATTGGCAAGTAACATGCTTAGGATCACAGCCTAGATGGGAGAATGCAGATCCTACTTAAATTTAAATACATAAGGGTCATCTATATATATATTCTGCCTATGTATTCTGCTCTGGGTTATCTTGGCAGAAGAGAGAGTTATCAATAGAACAAATAAATAAAATTCCATTAGCCTCATGTTTTGCTGAAATATTGGACAGACATTTGGGGTGCCACTTGGGTGAGGGGATCTATATGAGTTGGTGATTTCCCAAAAATCAAGTTTTTAAGATTTTTTCTTCAAAATAGATTTTGGTTTGAAACAGAAAAGGAATGTGGAGAAAGACTGCCCACCTATAGTGCAATCCTATAACAGATTTTAAAGGATGTAACTTTGTTTAGGATTGCACAGTAAAAAGATGGAATGTAAACTGTGAACTACCAATAAAGTTTTGTACTTTCAAAAAGCTTTCTGAATCCCTTTCTTCCTTTTCCTTCCTTTGACCAGTATTTTACCCCTCATTTGTTAACTTTGCAATTCCTTCTCCCTGTAATTTGTGAATATGCAGAGTTCCCAGAAAAAGTCCCCTTTGTGTCAACGGGAAGGGTTGAAATCAATAGCACTGAAAGGCTAGAGGTCTTATGCATACATACTTCGGAGTAAATCTCATTTGAGTTAAATGTGGAGGAAAAAATAGATCATGTTCACTGTGACTTGCCAGCACCAGGAATTATATATAACATATTTTCACTTCCGATGGCTTTCCTTACCCTGGGGCTTGACCATCAGTAGAACATATCGTAACCACTTTCTTGGCTTCTCTTTTCATCCTCCATCCTTTAAGGATTGTTCAGAATTTTGGTTTTATTTTTTACTTTTTTTTTCATCAGTGAGTTTTACTTCCTTCAGGACAATCTTCACATCCTATCAACTGGAGGAGTTGGAAAAAGCCTTCAATGAAGCCCATTATCCTGATGTCTATGCGAGGGAGATGCTGGCTATGAAAACAGAACTTCCTGAAGACAGGATACAGGTAATCATATGGTTATGAGACCATAGAGTGACACAATGCTAATTTTATTTTCAGTATTCTTTACTCTCTTCAGGAGGACAGCATACATTTTAATACAGATGTGCTGTAGTATACTGAAGGCTTCTCTAGGTCTTGCTACCAACATATCCAAAATCTGTGCATTAAAACAAACGTTGAATTGGTGTGCTTGTTTGGGGGTCTAAGGCTGCATAGTTTGCTGCTAGCTGTGTGGTCTTGCTGTTTAATACAAGGAGATATGTAGTTAATTGCATGTAAAGTAGGGGAGGACAATTGAGAGGGGACCTGGGGTGGAAGAATGGCTAACCTGATCAAAAATGGAATGTCATGAAAAGAGAAGCCCCAGGGGCTATTTGTGTACCCTGATTGAGGATAGAACTGCTTTAAAGATAGCTGTACAGAGGGGAGAATATCCAAAGTAAAACAGAACTGGAACCCTGCATGTAAATTATGAATTATCTCAACTTTCATTTAAGGAGCAAAGGAGAATAGTTCAGTATTTCAGTGTCTTGGGCAGGGATACAAAAATCTCATGCAAAAGGCTTGCCCTAGTCTAGTGAAAATTTTGGACTTTGTTTCCCCTGAATAGCACCCTCCCAATACTATATTGCAAGCTACTTTTAAAACTTCTCTTAGTTTCAAAAGCAGTTCTTGCAAAAGCATGAGAGACTGCCATTTAAGAAAAAAACAAATACAAAGTCCCTGGAAATACAACAACTGTTTTAACAATTCTTTGCATCCTGGCCTAGAATCTTATTTTATGGAATTGTAAGGCTTGTTCTTGTACACATAAAAAGTTCAATAGTCACGTGAACTAAATAGTCAACAGAGGCCATTGCTCGATGGTAGAGCATCTGCTCTGCATGAAGAAGATCCCAGCATCTTCAGTTCAAAGGATCAGATGAAGGGCAACGTGAAAGACTTCTGCCTGAGACCCTGGAGAGCGGCTGCCAGTCAGAGTAAACAAACTAAATCTAACCAGCCAATGGTCTGACTCAGTCTAAGGCAGCTTCATGTCTCTTCATTACACCCAGAGGTTATACTGTGCATCTAACAAGGTAGCTGCTACACTCAGCCGTAGTAGCTTTGTTACACTTGGAGCATGATTTCAGCATATTTAAACTGTTTATCAGACAAGAAAAAGATACTGTTCATTGGTTAATTAACCAATACAGATAAATATTACAGTGTCTCAATAAATTGGATATGATGAAGAATTTGTAATTTAAGATAACAGTTTCCATTGATTGAGGATACTTTTCCATACAATTCCCTCTCAATTTTTTTTTTAAATCAAACTAGCATGCTAGTAAGACAGCTAGGCTAGAATCTTCCTCCCTGACATTTAGTTTTCTATGTATTTTGTATGAAGGATCATTCAGTCATATGAACCTCCACTTGCAGCAGGAAGGGGTGAAGCCCAGAAACAGGTTCATCATCTCAGTGAGAATTTGGCTAAAATTATATATGCATTTTTTAAAAATCATAAGAACTCATTTTAAGGTGAAATTATCACTTGTTAAAATCAGTGGGAATTTTGGCCATTTACTCTAATTGGATTCAGAATTTGCCATAAGATGAAGAATGTACCCCAAAGAAGTACAGAAATAATTGTTTATTAGCAAAACAACTTAGTCTCTTTCTGTTTACATGCTGACTGCCAACATCAGCTGATAGGACACTGACATTTAAAAACTGTCCCTGATCAGTGAATTCTGACCACTCCCCCCCCCCGTTAACTAATTTATTGTCCCATTGTAGTCTGTGTGTGTGTGTTGGTTCAGTGAATGCGTACATGGACTTGCCTAGCATTAACCAATGTTAGCCTTACAGTTTATGATGAGTACCTCTGCTGGCAAACAAGGGCAAAGTCATGACCAGTGCTGGGATATTAGGACTCTGAATTGACTCTGGTTGTTATGCTAGTGTAGCACTGCTGTTCGTATGTAGCGGTGGTTAGGTAGATTGCAAGGATGTCATGTGATGTAGGACTCAGTAGATAGTCTTATGTGACAGCATGGAGTAATCTTCATAGCAACCTAAAAAGCATTCTTGCTGCTCAGAGTCAGCTTCTCAGCCACAATGCTGAAAATATGAAAGGAAGGATGTTTACAGAGCAGTCCTACAAAGAGTGACTCCAGTATAAACCCATTGATTTCAATGGATTTAGACTCTTGCTGCAACTTTCCATAGGATTGTACTGCTAGTAATTGGATTAATCTGCAATTGAGACCCAGTTTGGTGTAGTGGTTAAGTGTGTGGACTCTAATCTGGGAGAACCGGGTTTGATTCCCCACTCCTCCACTTGGATCAGTCATAAATTCTTTCAGAGCTGTTCTCTCAAGGGCAGTTCTTGGGAGAGCTCTCTCAGTCCCAGCTACCTCACAGGGTATCTGTTGTGGGGAGGGGAAGGGAAAGGGATTACAAACCACTTTGAGACTCCCTCAGGTAGTGAAGGGCGCAGATATAAATCCAATCTCCTCCTCCTCCTCCTGGAATGCAGCTGATAGTAGGGTGGATTTGCTCTACTTTCCTTTTCCAGGATGTAGTTGTAGCTGTACACCATGATGGGGTGGAAAGGCAGCATAAAAATGTTTTAAATAAATAACCAAACAGCTGCTTCACATCTCATCTCAGCTGTGATCAGGGTTGTAGGTAATATAAATACTGACATTTGGGGTTGCAAAGGAAGGACAACATTGAAAAATTATAAACAGTCATAAAAATATTTTGCTGGGTTTAAAAATGTCTGAATTGTGTTAAGAGTTAGTGATGGAAATCCATCATTCTGTCATGGGCTTCCCCCACTTACATTATCAACCCAGCTTCTATTGCTGCCATTTAAAAAAGAAACCAGCCCACTAACTGTGTTCAGACTACATCTATCCCCCCTGCCTTTGGTTATGTATACCTCAGATATTTGTATACTCTTCCCCTAACTTCTGCAACATCCTTTGGGCTCTCACGTTCCCATAGCACTCCCCCCCCCAGTCTGCTAAGCTACAAAACTGTTCACGTAAATTACGCATCATAAATCACCCTTGTTTCAGCTCTTTAATCATTTGGTAGCTCTTTGCTGAACTCCTTCCAATTTGTCAGTCTTGCTGGTAACAAGACATGAAGTGTGTATTGCCATGCAGGTTCATGTCAGAGTTTTAAACTGGAGCACATAAGAATTCTATCCTTGGGAGTTCAAACTGATTTTGGCTCATATATGAGGTCATATAACACCCCCCCCCCCCCCCAGCATGTTACAACTTCTGTGGCTGCGGTCCAGAAGGACATGCCACAAGCTCAGCACATAAAGCTAGAAAATTATTTTGTTTGTGCTCAGTGTGCATGCTGAGAAGCCAGACAGTTTCTCCAGCTAGCACCTGTATTGTTGGGAAAATGCTTTTCCCCTAATCTCAGGTGGTAATACTACTTTGCTGGAGGGGGGGGGGGATAAACCCAACTAGCACTCCCATGGCTCCTAGTATTGAGGTTGCTTTACGTTGCTTCCCCACATGGTTTGACTTCCACAGAAGAAGCCCTGCTCTGGGTTTCTGCTGGTGAAGCACCGTTTGATGTACAGAGAATGAAAGGCCCTCTTACTTATGGTCAGGGCTCTTTTTGTAGAAAAAGCCCAGCAGGAACTCATTAGCATAATAGTCCACACCCACCAGCAGAACCTCATTAGTATAATAGTCCACACCCACCAGTGGCATATTAGGCCACACCCCTGACAGCACAACTCATTAGCACATTAGGCCGCACCCCCATGTTACCAGAAGTGTGGTCATCCAGCCACACCCACCTTTTGCTTCTTATTCTGTTTACCTTGTTTGTTGTCAAAATCCAGGTCTTTTTTTGTAGCAGGAACTCATTTGCATGTTAGGCCACACACCCCTAATGTAGTCAATTTCTGCTGTTGGGTGTGGCCTATTATGCTAATGAGTTCCTGCTGGGCGTGGCCAACTCGGGAGCCAGCCGGAACTCCGTTCCTGCGCGTTCCTGCCCCAAAATAGCCCTGCTTATGGTAGTCTGACTATTGTAACTCTCCCAAGAGCATAGAATGTTCAGTGCTGCTGTGTTTGGAATTAATATTTTAGTATTTTAGGCATTTTTCATAGTCTGAGGTTTTATTATATATATCATTTTAATATTGTAGTACTCTTGATAAGCTGACCTGGGTATCATCTGGCTGGGAAGGCAGCTGGAAATTAAAAGAAAAATGGCCTGTGATGAATCACTTCTTTCTCCACTGTCAAAAAACATACCATTTGATAACCTCTGAATATCAGTGGTAGGAGGCAACTTGGTGGAAGGCCTTGGCTTCTATGCCCTGTTATTTGGCTCTCCAGGACAGCTGGTTGGCCAATGTATGAAAGAGGATGCTGAACTCGATGGACCACTACTCTGACCCTGCAGGGCTCTTCTTATGTCCTTAACTTAAAAAAAAGTTTTAAAATTGTTTTATCTTTGATATTTGGTATCAAAAGTCTTGCACAGTATGTAGAGTAATGAAGCATCTTCTGTGTGCAAACAAAAATGGGTACCACATAGATAAAAGATGTGGTAGTCAGTATTAGGGAGCCGGAAAAGAACCCAAGAAATAAGGCAGATATTTAGTGATAGTGTGATCCTAGAGTTATACCCTTCTAATCACATTGAAATGTAACTCTCTTTAGGGATGCACCAAGCAGGTTTACTAAGAACCCTACCTGAGTCTATTCAGTGGGGTTACTCCTATCAAATATTATTAGACCATAAGTATCTTACTGAGGACTGGAGATTCTAGCATAGAATAGGGGACTGAGAAGGCTATGGAAGCTGACTGCCCACTCAAAGCAAATATTGGCAAGTGCTCCTCCAGCCAACACACAAAAAATCTTAAAATGTACAAAATCTCAAAATGTACAAAAAATGCACATTTGTATAATTATAATCATAAGCCATACTATTTTATTACATTTTTATCTTGTACTTATTCCTGGAGATTC